GGAGGGTTTGGTGGGCGTTGACCTTGATTTTTGGAGTTGTAATTCACCAACATCCAGGGAGCGCTGTGGACTCAAACAATGATAGATCTGGAACAAACTCGGCACAAATACTCAATATGCCCTAATGTGAACAGTAGTGGAGTTTGGAGAAAATAGACCTTGACATTTGGGAGTTGTAGTTGCTGAGATTTATAGTTCACCTACAATCAAAGAGCATTCTGAACCCCACCAGGGATAGGGACCAACTTTCCCACACAGAGCCTCCATGACCAACAGAAAATACTGATGGTCTTTGGTGACCCCTCTGACACCTCCTGGCAACACCCCAAGGGGTCCCGACCCCCAGGTTGAGTAACATTGGTGTAGTACCTAAAGGCAGAATGTATTGTTGAGGAGTTGCTGTCAGACATTTTGACTGTTGCCTTGTTTTGGGATTCAACAGCACAATGTAAAAAACTAGGACATTAAAATCATCTGGGGAGGCCCTGCTCTTGGTCCTGCCTGCATCACAGGCATGCCTGGCGGGGACGAGAGACAGGGCCTTCTCAGTGGTGGCCCCTCGGCTGTGGAACGCCCTTCCTACAGATATCAGATCGGCCCCCTCCCTGTTGGCGTTTTGGAGGAAAGTGAAGACCTGGCTGTTCGAACAAGCATTCGATTAAGCAGTGTAATTGAATATAGGAATATGGAAGAATGGATGATGAGATTGGATTCTGATTTTACTATTGAGACGCCAATGATTGTTATATTGATGTTTAATCGTTGATGATGCTACTGTTTTTAACTGTCTCATTTTCGTTTTGTGATGTTTTTGCGTTGAATTTTGCTGCTGTTAACCGCTTTGAGTCACCTGAGGACTGAGAAAAGCGGTATATAAATGAAGTAAATAAATAAATAAATATTCACGTACAAACATATATTTAAAAATATTGATATCATTTATTTTAATTTGTAAAAAGAATTGCAAAACCACCTTTCAGCAAAAGATATCAGCGTAGTAGTAACGTGCAACCCCAAAGGGGCTTATAATAAACAGGGGGTTAAGGCTGAAAGCTTCCCCCTAATTTGTTCTCTGCCCCTGGATATGCCGTTTTGCGGTCACAGTAACATTTATTCCAAGTATTTTTAATAGCCTGAAATGGTGAACTGCAACATGGCAGAGTGTACCAAATACTTTGCGTGTACCTTGCTGTAAGCCAGTCTGAGTCCCTTTACGGAGGTGAGAAAATCGGAATATAAAAGTTTTAAATAAATAAATAATAAATTAATTAAGTTGTAGAACACTAAATGGCAGAAAATAGTATAAACTAGCCTTCTGTTTGTGCGTAATGCTTAAGAAATGAACATTAAGAGATTTTATATTGTTAATGTTACATGGCTGGTTGTATATAAATGTGGTGTTGATTTTATATTTTTATGTATTACATTTTATGTGTTGTATATAATAGCATTGTGTGCTATTTCGTAAGCCGTCCCGAGTCCCTATGGGAGATGGTAGGGGGTATAAATAAATAAATAAATAATAATTAAAATTGCTGTAAAAATAGCTAAAAAGTAGTTTAAAATGAAATACATGCACCATTGGAGATTAAAACAATGAAAGACTGACAAAGACAAAAACAAAACTGGGGGAGTTCATTCACACTGACGACTTATAGTTGTATTATTCCATTTTAATTGCCTTTGATTTCATCTTCTGGAATCCAGGAATTGGCAGATAATGAATGGGCACTAGGCAGGCATGTAGCGGGGGGGGGGGGGTGAGGGGCTTCAGCCCCCCCCCCAATTCTCATGGTGGTTCGCGAAAAGGCCTTACTGGTGCAGTATTTAAACTGTTATGTTTATTCATATCATGATCTGATCACCATACTCAATATATCCCATATGCATGGGGGTATTGGGGTAATGATACAAAAGGTTTGCTAGGCTAGACCCTCTTTCACTCAGACTCAGCCCCCACCCGAAACTCAGCCCCCCCTGAAACCCCCCCAAAATTCAGCCCCCCCCCCAAAAACGAAATCCTGGCTATGGGCCTGGCACTAGGGGTTCTCAGCCAGCACACTCTGTTGTCTCTGACCAAACTACCAAACTATAGGAAGGAGCTATGGTAGTTCAAGTGGAAACAATACATTACAGACAAGAAACAACACGGGTAGAAAATGTCACGTTTGGGGTAAGGGCGATTGATTTAATACATCTGAAATATCTTTCTTGAATGAGTGCTTGTCTCAGCTATTAGCATTCTGGCTATCTCAAATATTGAGTAATGTGCCTCCAGCAATCCAAGACGACTCCCTTTGCTTTTGAGAAACTCTGACGTCACCCTTATATTCTCCAGCATGAGATGTGTTAAAATAATTCAAAATTCATAACAAGCCATTATGCGGAAGGGGTTACTTGAACCAAGAACTGGAGCCACCTACCTCCTTCTGGAGGCTTTTGCTGAACAGAACTCGTTCTTTCAGACCTCCAGAATCTGGGATTTGCATCAGATAATCTCTCTCTTATTTCACTTTCTCAAAGTCCTATTTGAATAGGGCAACCTCTCCTCCTTTCCCTGTACTGTTCCAGTTAGCTTTTTCACAAGTCCAACAGGACCAAGGACAGGTCTTGGTGTCTTAAAACTATCTTTCATGCACTGCTTTCCTTGCACGTTACAGCTGCCCAAAATTGCTCCTTCCTTCTGTAGTGTGTGTAAATAAAGGATAATATTGTCCTTACTTTTGAACTCTTTAGCTCTCTCTTTCCCTATTAGCAACCCTTGCAACCTCAAACTGCTATTAATTCCAGATCCCGTAATCTTGTTAGTTTGCTATTTTGCATGTACTTTTGCAATTTATGAAGCTCTATTTATTTATTTATTTATTTATTTACTTACTATATTTCTATCCCACTCTAGCCCACCCAAAAGGGGGAATCAGAGCAGCTTGCAGTTTGGCTATTTCAGTGGCACATTGCAACACAAAAATATATAAATACATCATATTAAACAACAGAACAGATAAAACATATTAATACAATTAAAACTGTTAAAAGCATAGCCCTAGTCCCAAGGTTGTCATTTGTGCTGCTACATTTATGTCAGTTCCATATTGTAGTAATCCCCAAATACCTGGTTCCAAAGCCAGGTTTTGATTTTTTCCCTGAATACCAGGAGGGAGGGACCAATCTAATATCATTGGGGAGTTCCATAGCTGAGGGGCCACCACTGAGAAAACCCTGTATTTTGTCCCCACCCTTTGCGCTTGCTCTAATTAGTTGATAGGGCATGATACGTTCGGACTGGTAAGTTGGGCCAGAACTAATTAGGACTTTCTAGGCTAAGGCTAGCACTTTGAATTATGCTTGGTAGCAAACTGGCAGCCAGTGGAGCTGATGTAGCAGGAGGGATGTCCTCTCCCTGTGTGCAGCTCCGGTGAGCAGCCTGGCTGCTGTTCATTGGACTCTACCATAAAAAAGGTAAAGTAGGTAATGTCCCCTGACGTTAAGTTCAGTCGTGTCCGACTCTGGGGTGTGGTGCTCATCTCCATTTCTCAGCCGAAGAGCCGGCGTTGTACGTAGACATCTCCAAGGTCATGTGGCCGGCATGACTGCATGGAATGTCGTTACCTTCCCGCTGGAGTGGTACCTATTGATCTACTCACATAATACCTCTACCATAATATTTCCTCTACCATAATATTTCCTAGCTCTACTATAATATTTCGATTTCCTCAAGGAAACTATTGTATATATCTTGATTGCTGTATGTTCAATAAAATTCCATGTTTAGAGAATTCAGTGTGAAAGGCTTTTAAAACTTTTCCTGACACATTACCTGCCAAAGGTTCAAGGTCCCTGATAACCACTTGTACTCTGAAGATGTATGAATTCACTCCTATCCTCTGAGGACATGCCTGGTAACACCATCTTTGCCTGGAATCGCATGAAATAACATGCCAGATGTGGCACTGAATGAACATAGAGTGTTGTTTAACCCAGCATTGTCTACTTTACCTAAGAAAAGCTCTCCAAAGGCTTCTTTTTCCTAGGCTAAAGATCTCTCTATTAACTGAAAATGCATGAAAAAAATTAGATGGTCCACCTTGTCTCCTGCCTATGTCATCGGTGGAGAGCCCCTCCCCGCAGCACCAACTGCTGCTCTGGGCCAGAGTGAAGAGAGAGGGGGCCAGGAAGACTGTTCCACCTTGTCTCCTGTGCTATGCTAATAATATAATATAATATAATATAATATAATATAATATACATATAATATTTATAATAATATAATGTAATACAATATAATACTACTAATAATAATTAATATAATAATATATATATTGTAATATATTTTATTTTACGTGTAATAATACTAACAATATAACAATATAATGGTATAGTACAATATAGTAATATATAATACTGACATTGTACTATGGTAATAATATAATATAATGTGTGTGTGTGTGTGCATGTATGTATATATGTGTGTGTGTGTGTGTGTGTGTGTGTATATATATATATATATATATATATATATATATAGCTGCTCTGAGTTCCCTTCGGGGTGAGAAGGGTAGCATATAAATATTGTAAATAAATAAATAAGAGCAGAGTAACAAAATAATAGCACTATAAAATGCAAGGGCGTATTTCTTGGGCATTTGCAATGGTTAAACTTAATGTTAGAAAATGGCAAATTTGGGTATGTGATCATTTTACATTAAATATTGGCTGTTTTGAAAAAACACATTTGCATCTGTGGAAAAATATTCCCAGAGGGTATTGCAGAAGTCTGCCTTTCTTGTTGGTTTTATGGACCAATTTCTGTTTTAAACAGAACACATATTTCTCTGCTTTTCCTCCTTCACATCCCCGTGGATGGATTATTTCAAAGGCAGCCTAGTGATGCTCAATAATTATGGAAATTAATTCAAAGGCCCCCTTTTTTTGTTCCAAATGGGGAAAGAGTTCTTTAAAAATACAATTTTCAATGACAATGAACAGAGAAATAGTCCTACCTGCTTCTAAGCATGATCCAGAATTCAGGTGAGTTGTTTGTGGTTAGGAATTCCAACCAAAATAATATTTGCCATACTGGCGATCAAAAGCATCTTCATAATTGCCATGAAGCTTTCTACATCTGGACATTAATCCAATTTGAATTTAGTAGGATGATAGATTGCGTTGATTTCTTTGGCTGGAAAGAGAAAAGGCAACTGTTTTGTCCAGGTTACTCGTGACCTTTCTGCCTTCTGGAACTGGTCACATGGGAGATGGAAGACAAATCATGTGGTTCTTTTTTTCTACATACGAACAAAGCTTTGTATTTAAATCGGAATAAAACTGCAACTTAAGATGCCAGTTTGCTAAACAAACAATAGAAAGAGCCCCCCCCCCAATTATTTTCTATTATTTTCTTTACAGCCCTTTCTGTTTTCAACCTGTTCTTACATGCAGTCACAAGAAGCTACAGCAAGATGTACTCATTTCAGTAGAATCCATCCCTTGTATAAGTCTAATTTTTAAAAAGATCCGCAGCACCATGGGCAGCAACCAGGTTTGTGGAAGGCAGGTTAGTTAGCAAATGCTGATCTGCAAATTGCCACACTGGAGAATCAATAATTGCATCAGGATCTCTGCCAGTGTCCCTCCTTGCCAGTCACCCTTCCCCCAGGACACAGCTGGCATCCAAACAAAAAGGAAAAAAAGAGGTGCGGAGAAACCCTTTATAGTATTCTTTCTTAAAAATACAAAGCAACACCCCACTTGCATCCTACCTTTGTGGTGCCTGCATTGGAGAATTGCCCCCTTTCTGACGTTGTTTTTGTCCAAGGCTTTCATTTTCCATGACACATATTCTGCCTGTTCACCTCAAATATTTTGGATCCCAAGGAAGACAGATATTAGGGTGTAAACCTGCAGCTGTGTCATGCTGACGTCCTCGTTGCTATGGTGTTGTGTGGTTGTTGAAGGGGGTGATTTCTTTCAGCAACAGTCACCACAGGCCCCCTGACAATGAAGGCAAGGGGGGTGGCAGGGGAGGAGAGAGAAATATTTGGCCATTTCAACAGAAGGGGGAGAAGACTGTGAACTGCGATTTCTGGGCCAGGATTCTTAAAGTCTTTGTATTTAGGCAAAAAAAGTAGACTGTGGATTTTATCATAAACTCTGCAATCTCAGTATGTCTAAGACTGCTCACTGTTGTGTTTTGATTCAGGAGAGCATTTACCTTATCCTTGTTCAAGTATTTAGCAGACCAAGGCTGTAGGGGATTTCAGTTCATACTTGGTGTCCCTTTGCTATAATAATAATAATAATAATAATAATAATAATAATAATAATAATAATAATAATAATAATAATAATGTTCATTTTCTGTAACTTTTTCAGGCTTGTGATCACACCAGAAAATGAACATGTCAAACTACTCTGGCACAAGCCAGCAGAGGCGGCCCTAGGTAATTTTTAATGGTAAGCAAACAGTATTTTGGCGCCCCCCCCCCCCCCCACCAATCATTGATATATATTTTCTGTTCATCGTGGGAGTTCTGTGTGCCATATTTGGTTCAATTCCATCATTGATGGAGTTCAGAATGCTCTTTGATTGTAGGTGAACTATACATCTCAGTAACTACAACTCACATATGTCAAGGTCTATTTTCCCCCAAGAGCACCTCAAGAGCACCCCTGGGCAAAATCAACTATACTGCAAATGCTTACTTTGCGTAATGGGTTGAGCCACCCCTGCAAGCCAGTAAAGGTGGTCAAACTGCAAAGACAATGGCTCAAACCAGTAAAGATGGTCCCAGTGGTGATCGGCACACTGGGTGCAGTGCCTAAAGACCTTGGGCTGCACTTAAACACAATCGGCGCTGACAAAATTACCATCTGTCAGCTGCAAAAGGCTGCATGCATTATTAGTCGATACATCACACAACCTTCAACACTTGGGAAGTGTCTGACGTGTAATCAAATACAAAAGCCCAGCATAGTGATCTTGTTTGTTGTGTACTAATCTTGTTATGTAAATAATAATAATCTTATATAAATAAAAATGTAATGATCGTTTGTGGAATTAACAGAACTCAAAAACCACTTGCCAAATTGACACCAAATTTGGACACAAAACACCTAACAACCCAATGTATGTCCTTCATTCAAAAAATATATTATTTTGTCATTTGGGAGTTGTAGTTGCTGGGATTTATAGTTCACCTACAATCAAAGAGCATTCTGAACCCCACCATCAATGAAATTGAACCAAACTTGGCACACAGTTCTCCCATGACCAACAGAAAATACTGGAAGGGTTTGGTGGGCAGTGTCCTATGGTTTTGGAGTTGTAGTTCACCTACATCCAGAGATCACTGTGGACTCAAACAATGATGGATCTGGACCAAACTCTACACGAATACTCAATATGCCCAAATGTGAACACTGGTGGAGTTTGGGGAAAATAGAATCTTGACATTTGGGAGTTGTAGTTGCTGGGATTTATAGTTCACCTACAATCACAGAGCATTCTGAACCACCAATGATAGAATTGGGCCAAACGTCCCACACAGAACCCCCATGTGGGCCACAGCAATGCGTGGCAGGGGACAGCTAATAATAATAATAATAATAATAATAATAATAATAATAATATATTCAAAGAGTCAGAAAGGTTTTGAAGAGCAAATTAAATGGCAGAAATACGATCAAGGCTATCAACACCTGGGCCATCCCCGTCATTAGATACACTGCTGGAATTGTGAACTGGACACAAGCAGAGCTGGATGATGTGGACAGAAAAACAAGAAAACTGATGACAATCTACTACGCATTACACCCGCGTAATGATGTCAACAGACTTTTCCTGCACAGAAAATCAGGAAGCAGAGGGCTTTTGCAAGTGAAACAAACGGTAGAAGAAGAAAAACATGCACTGGCAGATTATGTGAAAGGCAGTCAAGAACCAACATTGAGGGAAGTCAATAGTAGTAAACTGCTTCAAGTGCAAAAGACAAAGAGTGAATACTGTAAAAACACAATCCAGAGCAGAAGAGAAAACTGGCAAAAGAAGGCTCTCCATGGACAGTTCCTGGGAAAAATTGAGAGCCAAATTGAGAAAGAAAAAAACATGGCTGTAGCTCACAAATAGAATTTTGAAAAAGGAGTCAGAGGGCCTGATTCTGGCAGCCCAAGAACAAGCCATTAGAACCAATGCCATCAAAGCCAGAATTGAAAACTCGACAACAGATCCCAAATGTAGACTCTGCAAGGAAGCAGATGAAACAATAGATGACATCCTTAGCTGCTGCAAGAAGATCACACAGACAGACTACAAGCAGAGGCATAACACCGTTGCTCAGATGATTGATTGGAACTTGTGTCACAAATACCATCTGCCTGCGACAAAGAACTGGTGGGATCACAAGCCGGAAAAAGTTAAAGAAAATGAACACGTCAAACTACTCTTGGACTTCTGAATTCAGACTGACAGAGTTTTGGAGCACAATACTCCTGACCTCACAATCGTGTTAAAAAACAAAGTATGGATCGTCAGTGTTGCAATCCTGGGCAACAGCAGAAGCAACTGGAAAAGCTTACATAAAATGAGGATTAAAAAATTGAATTGCAAAGACTCTGGCGCAAGCCAGTCAAGGTAGTCCCAGTAGTGATCAACACACTGGGTTCAGTGCCTAAAGTCCCTGGCCTGCATTTAAAGAAAATCAGCACTGACAAAATTACTGTCAGCTGCAAAAGGCCACCCTACATGGATCTGCACACATTATTCAGTGATACATCACATAATCCTAGACTTGGGAAGTACCCGACGAGTGATCCAATACAACAACCTTATTGTGTTTCAAATAATAATAATAATAATAATAATAATAATAATAATAATAATAATAATAATAGCTTGCGGTGCGAAGAAAGGAATGATCAGGATGGGGGCATGGTGAGAGCAAACTACATCACAATAGAACATGGATTTTACCCAAGTCCTTCTAGACTATTACATCCATTTTTCTATCCCAACATCATTGTATGCTTTGGACACCAGACAACAGATCCCTTGGCTGGGGAACTGCAGCATGTTGTGAGCCCACCAACACCATCATTATCTGCTTAAATTGATTTGACACTGGCCTATGTAATGAGTACAATATCATCTAGATCACACAAGATGCACGGTGGCTTCTCCACTGTTTACCTGTCCGAACACATCTCCCTCTATGAACCACCGTGAAGACTAAGATCTTCTGGGGAGGCCCTGTTTTCGGTCCTGTCACAGGCATGATTGGCAGGGACGAGAGAGAGGACCTTCTCAGTGATCACCACTTTCCTCTGAAATGCTAACAGGGAGGGGGCTGATCTAATTTCTATAGGAAGGACATTCCACAGCTGAGGGGCCACCACTGAGAAGTCTCTGTCTCTCGTCCCTGTGATGCAGGTGGGACCGAGAGCAGGGCCTCCCCAGACGATCTTAACATCCTAGCTGGTTCATAAGAGGAGATGAGTTCCCAACATCATAACAATTTGATCTGACCCTCATAGAGGATAGTTTCGGAAGCTGATTATGGACCTGGCAGAGACCAATAGGTAAAGGATGAAGCATGTAGTGCAGGGGTCCTCAAACGTTTTAAATAGGTCACAGTCCCTCAATGTGTTGGAGGGCCGGATTATAATCTGAAAAAAAACAAAACAAACATGAATGAATTCCTATGCACACTGCACATATCTTATTTGTATTGCAAAAACACTTAAAAACACTACAATAATTAAAATGAAGAACAATTTTAAAAATATAAATTTATTAGTATTTCAATGGGAAGTGTTGGGCTGCTTTTGGCTGATGAGATAGAATTGTTGTTGTTGTTGTTGTTGTGTGCTTTCAAGTCATTACATACTTAGGTTGACTCTAAGTGAGGGCAGGGTAAATGACCTTGGAGGGCCGCATTTGGCCCCCGGGCCTTAGTTTGAGGACATCTGATGTAGTGGTCAAGATAGTCCCAGGCTACTTCTTCCGCAACCCGACATGCCGCATGTTTTCTCCCCCATGTTCCAACTGTTCTCTGCCTTGTTCTATTTAGTGGTGCCAGCTGCTCCTGTATAGTGAGTGCAGTAATCATTACATATGCAGAATCCCAACATAATTTGGAACATTAAGTTCAGCCCTCAATGACAGAAAATACATTTTGCTCCCAGTGGAAAATTACAGTTCTATGAAAACAGGTCTTAAATCTAATGGAGATATGTTTATGTGAATTGCTACAAGGAAGCAGAAAGGGCATTTCAGTTATTTCCAATTCCAAGTTTATTAACAAGGAGATATATAAAAAAAACTTAGGCAGTATATGTTCCTCTTTCTGTTAAAATGTCAATTTTGCTAGTTAATTGCAGGGAGCCAAGATGGTGATTCATGGTCAAGAACTTCAGAAACATATAGCCTCCATGCTGCTTTGTAGATCACAGAGATAATTGCCATGGTAATTTGGGTTTCAGCATGATGCTTGGAGTTGAGAGAGAGAAATGTCAGCAAGAATACAAAAATATCTGTACGATAGTCATTTAGTAATAGTTCTCACTGAATCAGCATATCTTTGCCTGGGCTGCATCATTTCAGACTGTAGGTGTAGGCTCATATTAAGGACTAGCCGTCCCCTGCCACGCATTGCTGTGGCCCAGTCTGGTGATCTAGAAAATAAAGTAATGGTTTCTAATATATGTAATTCCTTTCTTCTTGTGGGTAAACAATATTTCTTGCTGCTTCTATGTCAATACTGATGTGGAGATTGTCTGGTTTGCCTACTCTGGAACATAAAACATATAATTTTTCTTCTTTAGGGGTCCCTTTCAAATCGATGATACTATATCTGTGTGTGTGTGTGAATCATATATCTATATCCACGGCTGGATGGCTCGTCAGGAGGGCTTTGATTACATTTTCTTGCCCTGGTGAAAGGAGTTGGACTTGATGGCCTTAAGTATGGTGGTTTTGTGTGGGAAGTTTGCCCCAATTCTGTCGTTGGTTAGGTTCAGCATGCTCTTTGATTGTAGATGAACTATAAATCACAAAAACTACAACTCCCAAATGTCAGGGTGTTTTCCCCCCAAACTCCACCAGTATTCACATTTGGGCAAATTGAGGATTCATGCCAAATTTGGTCCAGTTCCATCATTGTCCAAAGTGCTCTCTGCGTGTAGGTGAACTACAACTCCCAAACTCAAGGTCAATGCCCACCAAACCCTTCTAGTATTTTCTGTTGGTCATGTGAGTCCTGTGTCCCAAGGTTGGTTCAATTCCATCATTGGTAGAGTTCAGAATGCTCTTTGATTGTAGGTGAACTATAAATCCCAGCAACTACAACTCCCAAATGACAAAATCATTTTTTTTGAGTGAAGGACATACATTGGGTTGTTAGGTGCCTTGTGTCCAAATTTGATGTCAATTTGTCCAATTGTTTTTGAGTTATGTTAATCCCACAAACGAACATTACATTTTTATTTATATAGATTACTCTACCATACAAAATAATCACATTTCAGCACACTGAGCATTCACTTATCTGGCAGGAGAGTTCAGTTTGGCTGAACTCTTCCATTTCCCTTCCATTTGTAGCAATGCTCTAAAAAGGAAAGGGGCAAATGAAGTATATAATAATGTGATCCTCAACTATATTGTCTAGACATAGATGTACTTCCTTGGTAAGTACTAGCGTTAATTCTGTCCAGTGTTGGCATCATGTTTTCCTCATCGTAATTTTCAAGATAAACCTGGAAGCTTCGGATTTGCAAAACCTGTGTAGAATTTCGAAGGACAGATGCAAAAATCTGTTAAGGCTAACTCATGAGGCAATGGGTAAGGTTGTACTATACACCCCTCCTTCTGATAGGTTGTTTGGGAAATGAAGTGTGAGAGCGCACATTACAATATTGAATTTGATTCAAATGAGAATAAAACAAGGATCACAATGTAAGTTTATAAAGACTGGCAAAGTAAGGATAACCCCGAGGACCAGGCAGGGAAGTAGTTTTCTTTTGACCGTTGACTCATGCCGTGATGTATCGCAGTGAAATTAATGGGATTCTGTATGAAGCAACACAACCAACCCCCTTTTGCAGCAGAAGCATTCCCCCTTTGGTTAAGGAGCAGACATACACAACTTGTCTTTGTAGTAGATAAGACTTTATACAAGGAATATTTACAGTATAGCAGAAGACCAGGACTCTTCTTACACCTTTCTTCCAGACACTCCCAGGTAGTTGAAACCTTCTTACTTGCAAAAAGCTCTCACTGGTCTTGTTCTCCAATTCTTCTCTATCTTTGCAGGTTTCACTCCAATAGCAACTTTTCATCAACACAACTTCTTCAACATCAATCCTCAACAACAGAGAAGCTTTGTGCTACTTCAGTATCTTTACAGCTACTTCACCCTAGGGGTAAATGACACAAGGCCAACCAGGGGGCTTGAATCTTCATGCTTACAGAATGGTTGGGCTTGGTCCTTACACTTACTTACATTTTCTTATTGTTATTTAAAAATGACATACTGAAAAAGTAACAAAAGTATTGGCTAATTATTGGGGGGAGGGAGGAGTGTAAATAATAGGGTTCTTTTTAAGATGTGATTTTTTTTTAGTATGTCTATGTGTTATGGAGCCCCCGGGTGGCGCAGTGGGTTAAAGCGCTTAGTTGCTGAGCTTGTTGACCAAAAGGTCGTTGGTTAGTGGTTCGAATCCGGGGAGTGGTGCGAGCTTCCGCTGTCAGCCCCAGCTTCTACCAACCTAGCAGTTCAAAAACATGCAAAATGTAAGTAGATCAATAGATACTGCTCCAGCGGGAAGGTAACGGCGCTCCACGCAGTCATGCCGGCCACATGACCTTGGAGGTGTCTATGAACAATGCCAGCTCTTCAGCTTAGAAATGGAGATGAGCACCACAACCCAGAGTCGGACATGACTGGACTTAATGTCAGGGGAAAACCTTTACCTTTACCTTTACCTTTACCTTTACCTATGTCTATGTTTAAAATGGGTGTGTGCCTTCAAGGCAATTCTTATTTATGGCAAGATTTCTTAGAGTTTTGCCATTGCTTTTTCTAAGGATCAGAGGGTGAAACTCTCTCAAAGTCACGTAGTGCATTTCCATGACTGAACAGGGATTTGAACCATAGTGTCTTGAAGGCCTAGTTCAAAATGCAAATTGTTACACCATGCTGGCTATCATGTTGAAAGTACAGGTCGCATCCAAAATGCATGGGGCCAAGTTTTGGATTTTGGAACATCTGCATATATATAACAATGCATTTTGGATATGTGACTGAAGTCTAAACATGACATTCATTTATCTTTCATGTACACTTTGTACACATGGCCTAAAGGCAATTTTATACACAATACTTTTAACAATTTTATGCATGAAACATGTCTGTGTACACTGAACCATCAGAAAGCAAAGGCCACCCACGTGAACAATTTGGATTTTGGAGTATGACAGATTTTGGAATTCCAGCTAGAGGATGCTCAACCTGTATAGAATATCAGACAAAGCTCCTTCCTTGGAGACTTTTAAATAGAGGCTTGATATCCATCTGTGCTTTTGATTGTGCTTTTCCTGCATAGCAGGGGGTTGAACTAGATGGCCCATGTGGTCTCTTCCAATTCTATGATTTACCTATTCTCTCTGGGCCCTTCCAACACAGCCCTATATCCCAGAATGTCAAGGCAGAAAATCCCACAAGATCTGCTCTGAACTGGGTCATCTAAGTCCACACTCAGATAATGTGGGATTTTCTGCATTGATATTCTGGGATATAGGGTTGTGTGGAAGAGTCCTGAGTCTCTCTTTCCCTGCTTGGATTTCTTCCCTGTCTCCCAAGTCCTCTCTGGCTTTACCCCCCCCCCCATCCGAACATCCCTTGGGCTTATTCCCCACCTCTCAAGTCCTCTCGGTTTCACCCCTTTTCCTGAAGTAGCTTCCCAATTACCTTATTTCACAAATGTAATGCACATCCAGGCCCATAGTCAGGATTTCGATTCGGGGGGGGGGGGGGCGTTGTTTTTCGGGGGGGGGGGGGGGGGGGGGGGGGGGGGGGCCTGAGTCTGAGTGAAAGAGGGTCTACCCTAGCAAACCTTTTGTATCATTACCCCAATACCCCCATGCATGGGATATATTGAGTATGGGATATATTGAGTATGGTGATCAGATCATGATATGAATAAACATAACAATATGCACCAGTAAGGCCTTTTCGACCACCATGAGAATTTGGGGGGGGGGGGCTGAAGGCCCTCGCCCCCCCCCCCCCCCCCCCCGCTACATGCCTGTGCACATCCTAATTTTGGCAACATAATTTAGCCTAAAAAGGAGCACATTACACTTAAATAAATATGATAAATCCGCAATCCAACAGAATTCTCTAAGGAAAAATTTAGGAAGCAGCACTTCTTGGGCCAAGCCTATATAAATATGACAAGCACCTACTAACCCTGCTTAAATAAGCCTGAGTCTAATGGGAATGAATAACATGGAGTTCTGCCTTGTTAAACTGAGGTAACTAAAAGTACAATCAACAACAACATGTCATATCACTACGGTCACATCTTCCACATTGCCATAAAATCCAGACTATCAAAGCAGATGATCCAGGTTATCTGCTTTGAACTGGATTGTATGAGTCTATACTGCCAAAAAATCAAGGTTGAAGCAGATAATCTGGATTTTATATAGCCATGTATACTGCAAGTGGGAAGTCACATTCACCTACAGGAGAAAAACGTAGGAAAAAAGCAAGCCAGACAAAATACCATTAGATCCTTTCTCCTTTAAATACTATTTTTCTATGTATAGGGAACTGTTTATATAGGAATCTGTTCAGGCTTATAATTACCAGCAATATGAAGTCATAGAAGTGCATATTTCTGCTGATTTCATAATTAGCATGATGTAAAATCTAACTCTATATGCAAAAAAAAAAAAACATAAAATGCAAAATTGTGGGAATTTTTAAACAACCAAATTAAGGATACAGTATGCCAACTTAATTTTAAAAACACGATAATCACCCTAAAATGAAAGCATTGGTATTAAATACATGAAAAGACAATATGCAACAACACATAATGGCACTCACAATCTGTTCATACGCAGTATGCTCAATGTTTAATCTTATACTGATCAATATCCACTGAGATGTCCCTGGCCCCTTCTTCACTGCCATATAATCCAGATTATCAAAGCTGATAATCCATGTTATTTGATTTGAACTGGATTATATGAGTACACTGTCATATAATCCAGTTAAAAACAGATAATCTGGATTTTACATAGCAGTTTAGAAAGGGTCCCTCTACAAATAGCCGTGCTTTTTCTAGACCTTTCACTTTTTAAAGATATGAGGTTATTTGGTTTAATTTTGCTCTAATACGAATTTTCATTGTTCAAAAAAAATAAATCAGATTAAATTTTCTGTGACATTCCTTCCTCAAGGACACCTCGTCGTAGTTCCTCTATGAATAACCATTTCAAAAATGTTCTAAAAGCTTGGACAATCCTGTTTCAAAACACTGAGATTTGGATCAATTGCATGATGCTCCTTTCTTCAATGTCATTTTCTTTACTGGAGTTTTCATGTCCATTCTGATCTTCTTGGTTGTACAATAATCTGGTAAAATTAAATAATAACATGAATAATTAGAAAGGCACAGCAATATTCTCAGGCCAACCATACAATAGAAAGGAGTTGTTAGGTTTCTGGGAAAACTAAAACACCTTTTCTTGGTGCTTTAGCTTACTCCCTGCAGGAAACTGATCTGGGAGAAGATTTAGCAATATGAAATGATTTGCAGATCAATGGAATAATATTCAGAATTCCATCACCTTATAAAATCATAGTTGGAGAAGGCTCATGGGTCAAACTACAAATCCTAGGATTCCATAGCACTGAGCCATTGAAGTTAAAGTGATGTCAAGCTGCATTAATTATACAGTTTAGATGCATGCTGAGTAACAAACTCCAAGAAGAAACAAAGCTTGAGCAACTACTACTAATGTCTAATAATACAATTGTGGAATTTGCTGTACAGTACTTTAAAAAGTGTAGCCTCTGGTGGCACAGTGGGTTAAACTGCTGAGCTGCTGAACTTGCTGACCAAAAGGTCAGTGGTCCAAATCTGGGGAGCGGGTGAGCTCCCACTGTTAGCCCCAGCTTCTGCCAACCTAGCAGTTAGAAAACATGCAAATGTGAGTAGATCAATAGGTACTGCTCCAGTGGGAAGATCACCAAAGAATTGTATATATAGTTTTGTGTGTGTGTGTGTGTGTGGGGGGGGTGCTTTTTCTTTTTCTTCTTCCCCCCCCCTCTTTTTGGCGATTTTATTGTATTGTAGTTTGTGTTTATTGGAAAAGTTAATAAAATTTCTATATACAAAAATATGTACCGCTCCGGTGAAAAAATAATGGCACTCCATGCAGTCTTGCCGGCCACATGACTTTGGACACGTCTACGGACAACGCTTAGAAATGAAGATGTGCACCACCCTCAGAGTAGGACACGACTAGACTTAATGTCAAGGGGAAACCTTTACCTTACTTTTAAAAAAATCTCTAGTAAGAAAGGTGCAAATGTTTTGCTTCCTATAATTTATGAAACTAATCTGCTTAGCAATGCAAATCATTTTGGAAGCTAATTCATTATTTGGATCTAGGCAAAGCACTGAACTCCTCTGCCGTTAAAAACCATTATCAAACCATCTTGCTGGCATCACAGATGTCGTGTGCCATTTTTCAATCTGAATCCCTGGCACAGACAGTCCATGCGATATCTACAAAACCAGGAAAAACTTGAACTGATTTGTGGAGGAAGAAAATGCCCATGCTCATTTCTTTTAGCCCTTAATATGAAAAACATTTGCAACTGTGTATTGCCATATAAACAGCAACAACACATTTTTCTACTGCTGCTTAACGTCTATAAAACTTATGCCAAGTTCTGAGGTACTTGATACCTATTTTTACCTCATCTCTATTAGTATTGCAGGTAAAAGGATTTAAATGGAGAGCTGAGGCTGTTTCCTCCCTTCCTCATCTCCCACATTGAAACAAAAAGAGTCTGCTTTATATATATATATATATACAGGCCTGTAGCGAGGGGGTGGTTTTAGGGGTTCAAACCCCCCCCCGAAATGTTTCAGATTTTTTTTTTAAAAAACTGGTTTACTCATGAATTTTAACTGGTTAACCAAATCCCCATGCTAAGTCTATGAGATGCAAAAAATTAAGAGTCCCTCCAGAACTGCAAGCACTATCTCAGGCAAATATTGACAATTTATTCACACTGTCATTACTTGCAGCAATAGCCGATGTAGTGAAGCAACCAAGTTGTGGGTGTGTGTGTGTTGAATGCTCTCATTAAGGAGGCCAGACTTGGTGGAGGTGGTTGACAGGGGCGGAGCTGCAGGCTATTGAAGGCTGCTCTGCCCCCTGCAGTGCTCTTTGCTTCAGTGTGAGCTAGGAGGCAGGTTCACCCCCCCGAGGCAGGTTTCAACCCCCCGAAATTTTCAACCTCCCCCAAATTGTCAACCCTCCCCAAATTTTTTTCTGCCTACGGCCCTGATTGCATGTGCATGGAAGCTGGCATAAAAAGGACAAACACCATCTCCCCGATAATTATGAGGTTTCTCTATCTCAGGAAAAGTGCAGGAGCAAGTAGAATTATTTCCACATTGTTTAAAACCAGATAAATAAATAAGTCTTGAGTTTGGTGTATCAAAACCCTAACACACTGGACAGCTCTTTTCATCGTGTCAGAAGCAAATTGAGAAACTGCAAGCGCTTCTGGTGTGAGAGAATTGGCCGTCTGCAAGGATGTTGCCCTGAAGATGCCCGGATGGTTTACCATCCTGTGGGAGGCTTCTCTCATGTCCCCACATGGGAAGCTGGAGCTAACAGATGGGAGCTCACCCCATCTTGTGGATTCAAACTGCCGACCTTAAGGTCAGCAGTTCAGCCAGCACAAGGGTTTAACCCATTGCACCACTGCACAGCAGAAAATAACATGGTAGCATTTGGGAGGGACAGAAGTGCATTCTATAAATGCCAAGAAGGGCTTTGCTGGCAATGAAATCATCCTTGCCACCACAAACAACATAGACATTTTTTTTATACAGGACTGCCTTGTTACAAATCAATAGAAATGAAAACATGTAGTCAAATAATAGCAAATTGTCAAAGTAGCAAAATAGTTCTAAAAAGGAACAGAGAAGGAAGCTTTTCCCATGATTATTTAGCCACCAGTATCCCAAGCAACTCTATTGGCAATGAATTAATTCAGCATTCCTTTGGCAGCTGAAGACTTGCATTTGCTCCAAGGAAACATGTTATTGGCAGGTGCCCCAGAACTCTACGAGATTTGCAATGTCTATTTAATTAAGTTCACTCCATCACCAATTTGTGATGGGGGATAAGGTGTACACTGGTGACCCATGTATTACTGAGAAGCAAAACAAACATGCCCTGTAGTTAACATGAGCATTCATCATGAGGTCTCTAGAAGGCAAAAAATAGGAAGAAGAGAAAGAGGGAACAAAACAATATTTTTTAAAGGGATCTCACATCTCAATCCACTGTTATTTTGTGTGGGCTCAAGAATGCTAGTGATTGAGAGGGAGAGGAAGATGTATGATTTTCATACATGCTGCATAACAGATGGTGTTACTGTAGGAAGAGGTTCAGCACTACTCCCTGGTATCCACTAGTTCATCACACAAGGCAAGCAAATTGCAATTACAGCAAGACAATAGCATCTTTTCCTTGGACTTATTACATAATGCTGTTCCTTTCCTCCACTCTCCCAGTGGGAAACAGCTTGGAAGTGTTTCTTTTACAACCACAAATCTTTCCTCGACAACCTTCTATTGTAAAAGAAACACTTTTCCAATGTATTGTCGAAAGCTTTCATGGCTGGAATCACTAGGTTCTTGTTGGTTTTTTCGGGCTATAGAGCCATGTTCTAGAGGCATTTCTCCTGACGTTTCGCCTGCATCTATGGCAAGCATCCTCAGAGGTTGAGAAGGTCCGAAAAAACCCACAAGAACCTACTTTTCCAATGGTTTCCCATTGGGAGAGTGGCTGGAAAAGAACAGTGTCATGTGATAAATCCAAGGAAAAAAATGCTGTTATCTTGCTGTAAATGTGGTGTCTCTGCCTCATATGATAAATTTTTAAGAAGAAACTCTTAGGCCTGTGCTACACTGCCATATAAAATCCAGATTATCTGCTTTGAACTGGATTATATGACAGTGTAGACTAATATAATCTAGTTCAAATCAAATAATGTGGATTATCTGATTTGATAATTTGAATTACAGGACAATGATTTGTTTATTTATTTATATGCCACTCTTCTCACCCTGAAGGGGACTCAGAGCGGCTTACAAGTAATATGTAAATACAATATATTATTACCATAGCACAATATAAGTATTACATTTTACTATATTGTACGATACCATTATACTGTAATATTATTAGTAATATTACATGTAATATAAAATATATAATTATAACATATAATATATATATATAATATAAAATATATAATTATAAAATATATTATATATAATATAATAAATATAATATATTATTATTAGTAGTATTATATTGTATTATATTATAAAATTATCAATATTATATGTATATACAATATATATTATGTTATATTATTAGCATAGTGTAGAAGGGCCTCGAGATTTGTTTATTCGTGCAGTCGCTTCCAACTCTTCATGACCTGGACCAGTCCATGCCAGAGCTCTCTGTCAGCCGTGGCCACCCCCAGCTCCTTCAAGGTCAAGCCAATCACTTCAAGGATGCTATCCATCCATCTTGCCCTTGGTCAGCCCCTCTTCCTTTTTCCTTCCATTTTACCCAGCATCATTGTCTTCTCCAAGCTTTCCTGTCTTCTCAATACATGGCCAAAGTAAAAAAGGCTTTGAGATCTCATTCTCAGAATCAACTACAACCAGTCATCTCCTTCCCACACTGTTCCTGGGAACATGGCTGTTCCTGCCTTAAGTCACCTAAAGTACAAGATACTTCACTTACCAGTCAAAGATGTCTGCCTTCGTTTCTTTCCTATTAAACTCTTTTTCTTTGCCACATTTTGCCTCTGTTTCTCCAACACTTCACCACTGTGATGCATTTTCAATTTATTCCCAAGACCCAGTTTCACAGGCTGGTAAGTCTGTCCAACCCTACAAGTGTGATAAAAAGTGGGGACCTCATGGTTTGGTAGTTTTTCCCACTGAAGAAGACCTTCTGTTGGAGTATCTTGCAAGAAGTCGAAGTTCCATCTCCACGTGGCTCTTTCCATGGCAGCATTCAACATGCTCTGGAAGTCCTGCTGGAGACCATCATGATTCACAGGACCAAAAAGATTCTTCCTAGCATGGTTTGTTTTTCTTGGCCTCATCTCCATTCTTCTTCCATTCAACTTCCCCCCTATGACAAAAGAAAGCAGTAATTCCCTAGCAAGTGCAGAAGTACACACAAGTATTTTATCACGTCAGGAGAGAATGCTTCTAGAACATGGCCATATAGCCCGAATAACCTACAACAACCCAAAGAGAAGATTGACTCAAGTGAGTTTTTATCTCTTCTCAGGGAGATCATGCTTTACAAAAGGTTACAATTGCTAACAAGGTCATGTTTTTCCAAAGGTTGATTATTCCAGATAGTGTGAATGCCAATTAATTTCCAAAAGGGTCATGTTTCCAAAAGCCCGTGGAGATTTCTGATTTTCCCAGTCATCTACACCAGTGTTTCTCAATCTGTGGGTCCCCAAATGTTTTGGCCTTCAACTCCCAGAAATCCTAACAGCTGGTAAACTAGCTGGGATTTTGGGGAAATGTAAGCCAAAACACCTGGGGACCCACAGGGTGAGAGCCACTGCTCTATTTATTGTTTATTTATTTATTTACACTATTTCTATCCCACCCATATCAGCCTGAAGGCAACTCAGGGCGGCATACAAAGTCGGCACAATTCGATGCCATACATAAAATACATACATTGATAAAAGCAAAAAAGAAACATTACAGTACATTTAGAAACATAAAAACAATTAATAACGATTTTTTTAAAAAAACTATGTCCTCTCGTTCAAATCCTCATCTGTTTCACCGTCCTGGCTGTTCCTGTGTCATTTTCCAATTCAAGTTTGTCTGTTTATCCTGAGGTTCCAAATGCATGCTCGAAGAGCCAGGTTTTCACTCTTTTTCGAAAGGTCAGGAGGGAGGGGGCTGATCTAATATCCCTAGGCAGGGAGTTCCACAGCCAAGGAGCTGCCACAGAGAAGGCCCTGTCTCTCGTCCCTGCCAAACGTGCTTGCGAAGCAGGCGGGATTGAGAGGAGGTAATAATAATCTTTATTTATACTCCGCCACCATCTCCCCAAGGGACTCAGAGCGGCTTACATGAGGCCAAGCTCAACAACACATCACAACAAAAAAGCACTAACAGCAATACAAAGCAACAAAAATAATATAAATCACATACAACAATAACATACAGAATTTAAAAGCTTATGGCCAGGCCAGATGTAATGATTTAAAATTAAAAAAATAACGCTGGATATGACAAGATAGGATATATCTCGTAGGAGGGTTTTTAAAAAGTGAGGGGTACAGTCCAACGCAACCCAATGGTTAAAGTGCATTTGTAAGGACATTTTGCTGGGAGTTGTTCCTTTATTCCGGGAAGGCACACTGGAATAGACACGTTTTCAGGCTCCTCTTAAAGACTGCCAATGTTGGGGCATGCCTGATATCCTTTGGAAGTGAGTTCCAGAGTCGGGGGGCCACCACCAAGAAGGCCCTCTCCCTCGTCCCCACCAATCACGCCTGCGAGAGGCAGAAGCACAAGCAAGGCCTCTCCGGATGATGGAAGAGATTGTGTGGGTTTGTACACAGAAATGCGGTCACGTAGATAGGCGGGTCCCAAACCATTCAGGGCTTTGCAGGTAAGAACCTGCACCTTGAATTGGGACCGGAAGATGAACGGCAGCCAATGGAGCTCCTTAAACAGGGAGGTTGACCGCTCCCTGTGAGTCGCACCAGTTAGTAACCTGGCTGCCGCCCTCTGAACCAATTGAATTTTTGGGCCGTTTTCAAGGACAGCCCCACGTAGAGTTCATTACAGATACCTATCTGACCGCATCTCGGCCTACGAGCCCACCAGGACTTTGAGATCGTCCGGGGAGGCCTTGCTCTCGATCCCGCCTGCCTCGCAGGCACGCCTGGCGGGGACGAGAGACAGGGCCTTCTCGGTGGTGGCTCCTCGGCTGTGGAACACCCTTCCCGTGGACATCAGACTGGCTCCTTCCCTGATGATATTCCGCAGGAAATTAAAGACTTGGCTGTTCAAGAAGGCGTTTGAACAAGAAGTGCAATAATTGGTAATGACGACAGGAATGGAACAACGGAAAATGATACTGGATTGTGGTTTAAACGATGAGACGACGTGAATGGCTTTTGTATTATTGATATTGTTGATGTTTTTTGATGACGATATTTTTGGATATTGCTAGATTGATATTTTAGATTGTGTCTTGAATTTTGAACCTTGTTCCTTATATGTTGTACACCGCTGTGAGTCGCCCCCGGGCTGAGAACAGCGGTATATAAGCAAAGTAAATAAATAAATAAATAAATTACAGTAATCCAATCTGGAGGTGACTAAGGCGAAGGAAGAGATGCGTTTGGATAGATAAGCTGGGCCGGAACCAGAACTCTACACTGACTATTTAATGTGTTTTCCAACCGGTATGGAAGAAGGTGGATGTGAGAATAGGAAAGGGGAGAAATATACTCTTGTGTGTGTGTGTGTCTTCAAGTTGTACGTCCACCTACAGCGAGCTCATGTATTCCAGTGTTTTCTTAGGCAAGAGAGACTCAGAGGCGGTTTTACCAATTCCTTCCCTGAAATTGGCTGGTGGCCTCCCATCCAGGCCCTAACCAGGGCTGACCCTACTCACCTTTCCAAGCCAGTGGGGCGATCTGGTGCTTGTAACCAAGGTGACATGACATGCCCTGTTCAAAGGCGCGCTCCAGGGTGCTGAAAGAAACGCTGAATGGGGCAGCCATACTGCAGAATAGGAACTAGTCCAGTGATTCTCAACCTTCCTAATGCCGCGACCCCTTAGTAAAGGTCCTCACGTTGTGGTGACCCCCAACCATAACGTTATTTTTGTTGCTATTTCTTTAATTTTGCTACTGTTATGAATCGTAATAAATATCTGATATGCAGGATGTATTTTCATTCACTGGACCAAATTTGGCACAAATACCCAGTACGCCCAAATTTGAATACTGGTGGGGTTGAGGGATTGATTTTGTCATTTGGGATTTTAGTTGCTGGGATTTATAGTTCACCTAAAATCAAAGAGCATTTTGAACTCCACCAATGATGGAATTGAATCAAACTTGGCACACAGAATTCCCATGGCCAAGAGAAATACTGGGAGAGTCTGGTGGACACTGACCTTGAGTTTTTGGAGTTGTAGTTCACCTACATCCAGAGAGCACTGTGGATCAGGACCAAACTTGGCACGAATTCTCAATATGCCCAAATGTAAACACTAGTCAGGTTTGGGGAAAATAGACCTTGACATTTGGGAGTTGTTAGTTGCTGGGATTTATAGTTCACCTACAATCAAAGAGCATTCTGAACTCCACCAACGATTGAATTGAACCAAACTTGGCACACAGAACTTCCAATAATTAGTGCAATGATTGGTTAATGAACACTGGAATGCAACAATGGATGACGAATCTGGAACATGTTTTTGATGACGAGACGACAGTGAATGGGTATTGTAGTAACTGTTTATTAATTGTGTAATGTGTTAGGTTGTTAACTGTTTCTATACTGTAGCACTGAATTTTTGCTGTTCGTATTTGTTGTGAACCGCTGTGAGTTGCCTTCGGGCTGAGAACAGCGGTATATAAGTAAGGTAAATAAATAAATAAATGACCAACAGAAATACTGGAAGGGTTTGGCAGGCATTGACCTTGAGCTTTGGGAGTTGTAGTTCACCTACATCGAGAGAGCACTGCGGACTGAAACAATGATGGATCTGGACCAAACTTGGCACGAATTCTCAATTTGTCCAAATGTAAACACTAGTCGGGATTTGGGGAAAATAGACCTTGACATTTGGGAGTTGTAGTTGCTGGGATTCATGGTTCACCTACAATCAAAGAGCATCCTGAACCCTGCCAACGATTGAATTGGGCCAAACTTCCCACACAGAACTTCCACGACCAACAGAAAATACTGTGTTTTCTTGTGGTCTTTGGTGACCCCTCTGACACCCCCTCGCGACCCCTCCAGGGGTCCCGACCCCCAGGTTGAGAAACACTGAACTAGTGCATCAACGCTATGGGATGCTGGGCCTTGTCCCTTGGCCAACTGCACCACCCAGGATTCCCACTGCCATCATGATTACCGTGAGGAAAGCAGCCTTCCTCTTTAGGCGCCTGGGAATGTGGACGTTAAGGCAGGTTTCCTTCCTAGTATTGTTTTCAACAGGCCGCCCGCTTTCCCGTTGAGGACCACAGGGCACACGGCAAGCACTTACGGTTCAGCGGGGCCAGCCAGGCGCTTTCAAACTTGGCGGGCCTCTCGTGGCGTCCCACTCCCCTCCTCCCGCCCGGCGCTTCTGAACTGCCGCCTTCAGGGAGAGGCCACGCCCCCGGGGAGAGGCCACGCCCCCTTATCCCTCTGCCAAGTCCGTTGCTTCGCTCCCCGCCCGCTTCACCCTCGCGCTCCGGGCTCTCCTCTGGCACGTGGATGTGCAACGTGACTTTCTTCCCCTCTTCGAAACTTTTGCCCAAACACGCAAAAGGGAGGGGGGGAGGGGGAGCAGCAGCAGACAAGCACGCGCATGCGCACAGGCGTCCGCAGCGCTTCTCAAACCTCGTCAGGCAAGGAAGTCAAGAAGGCCAGGGGAAAACAAGAGTGGAGGGGTCCCTCTAGCACAGTGTTTCTCAACCTGGGGGTCGTGACCCCTGGAGGGGTCGTGAGGGGGTGTCAGAGGGTCGCCAAAGATGACCAGAAAACAACTTCCCGTTGTGTGGGAAGTTTGATCTAATTCTATAATTGGTAGCATTCAGAATTCCTTTTGATTGAAGGTGATAAATCCCAGCAACTACAACTCCCAAATGTCAAGTATTTTCCCCAAACTCCACCAGTGTTCACATTTGGGCATATTGAGTATCCGTGCCAAGTTTTGGTCCAGTTCATCATTGTTTGAGTCCACAGGGCTCTCTTACTTAGGCGATCCCTTGTTGGACGAGTAAGATAGTCTTCCATTATGGATTTCCTTGTGGGTCCGTATGTGGCTGTGGAGCCCTATTCTTGCTCTGCATCTTCTTCCGCAGTGAGGGCATTGGTTTCCAGGTGGAAGGCAGTCCCGGTCGGGGTTGGCTTGACGCGCCTTCCTCCTGGCACGTTTCACTCTTTCACCCTCCACTCGTGCCTCCTCAAATTCTGCAGCACTGCTGGTCACAGCTGACCTCCAGCTGGAGCGGTCAAGGGCCAGGGCTTCCCAGTTCTTAGTGTCTATGCCAGAGTTTTTAAGGTTGGCTTTGAGCCCATCTTTAAATCTCTTTTCCTGCCCACCAACATTCCGTTTTCCGTTCTTGAGTTCAGAGTAGAGCAACTGCTTTGGGAGACGGTGGTCGGGCATCCGGACAACGTGGCAGTCCAGCGGAGTTGATGGCGGAGGACCATCGCTTCAATGCTGGTGGTCTTTGCTTCTTCCAGCATGCTGACATTTGTCCACTTGCCTTCCCAAGAGATTTGCAGGATTTTCCGGAGGCAGCGCTGATGGAATCGTTCCAGGAGTTGCATGTGACGTCTGTAGACAGTCCACGTTTCGCAGGCATATAGCAGGGTTGGGAGGACAATAGCTTTATAGACAAGCACCTTGGTATCCCTACGGATGTCCCGGTCCTCAAACACTCTCTGCTTCATTCGGGAAAATGCTGCACTCGCAGAGCTCAGGTGTTGTATTTCGGTGTCGATGTTGACTTTGGTGGAGAGGTGGCTGCCAAGGTAGCGGAAATGGTCAACATTTTCTAATGTTACATCATTAAGCTGTATCTCTGGCATTGGAAAGGGGTTGGCTGGTGACTGCTGGAAGAGCACTTTGGTTTTCTCAATGTTCAATGACAGGCCGAGCTTCTCGTATGCTTCTTCGAAGGTGTTTAGAGTGGCTTGTAGGTCTTCTGAATGCACACAGACAACATTGTCATCAGCATATTGGAGTTCTATAACAGATGTTGTTGTAACCTTGGTTTTGGCTTTCAATCTGCTGAGGTTTCCAGTATTTTCTCTTGGTCATGGGAATTCTGTGTGGCAAGATTGGTTCAATTCCATCTTTGGTGGAGTTCAGAATGCTCTTTCGTTGTAGGTTAAGTAGAAATCCCAGCAACTCCAGGTCCCAAATGACAAAATCAATCCCTCCCCCAACCCCACTAGTTCTCAAATTTGGGCGTAGCGGGTATTTGTGCCAAATTTGGTCCAGTGAATGAAATACATACTGCATATTAGATATTTACATTAAGATCCATAACAGTAGCAAAATTACAGTTATGAAGTAGCAACAAAAATAATCTTATGGTTGGGGGTCACCACAATATGAGGAACTGTATTAAGGGGTCGCAACATTAGGAAGGTTGAGAACCACTGCTCTAGCAGTCTAATTCAGGGGTCCTCAAACTTTTTAAACAGAGGGCCAGGTCACAGTCCCTCAAACCGTTGGAGGGCTAGATTATAATTTGGAAAAGAAAACCATGAATGAATTCTTATGCACACTGCCCATATCTTATTTGTAGTGCAAAAAACACTTTAAAACAATACAATAATTAAAACGAGGAAATTTTTTTAACAAATACAAACTTATTAGTATTTCAATGGAAAGTGTGGGCCAGCTTTTGGCTGATGAGATAGGGTTCTTGTTGTTGTTGTTGTTGTTGTGTAATTTCAAGTCATTTCAGACTTAGGTTGACCCTGAGCGAGGGCCGGGTAAATGACCCAGGAGGGCCGTATCCGGCCCCTGGGCCGTAGTTTGAGGACCCCTGGTCCATTGTATTAATGTACGGTTCGTTTATTTGGTAATCACTGGGTTGTTGTAGGTTTTTTTCGGGCAATATGGCCATGGTCTAGAGGCATTCTCTCCTGACGTTTCGCCTGCATCTATGGCAAGCATCCTCAGAGGTAGTGAGGTCTGTTGGAACTAGGAAAAAGGGTTTATATATCTGTGGAATGACCAGGGTGGGACAAAGGACTCTTGTCTGCTGGAGCTAGGTGTGAATGTTTCAACTGATCACATTGATTAGCATTTGATTGCCTGGCAGTGCCTGGAGCAATCTTTTGTTGAGAGGTGATTAGATGTCCCTGTTTGTTTCTTCTCTGTTGTTGTGCTGGTTTCCTCCTTTCTGTTGAAATTGTCCACATGCTTGTGGATTTCAATGGCTTCTCTGTGTAGTCTGACATGGTGGTTGTGAGAGTGGTCCAGCATTTCTGTGTTCTCAAATAATAAGCTGTGTCCAGGTTGGTTCATCAGGTGCTCTGCTATGGCTGACTTCTCTGGTTGAAGTAGTCTGCAGTGCCTTTCATGTTCCTTGATTCGTGTTTGGGCAATGCTGCATTTGGTGGTCCCTATGTAGACTTGTCCACAGCTGCATGGTATACGGTAGACTCCTGCAGAAATGAGAGGATCCCTCTTGTCCTTTGCTGAACATAGCATTTGTTGGATTTTCTTGGTGAGTCTGTAGATAGTTTGTATATTAGGTACTTCTTGGGAGGAGAGCAATGTCCAATCTTGATAAAATAGTGAAGAGTAGAGACACCACACTGGCAATGAAGATCTGCATAGTTAAAGCAATGGTATTCCCCATAGTCACCTACGGATGTGAGAGCTGGACCATAGGGAAGGCTGAGCGAAGGAAGATAGATGCTTTTGAACTGTGGTGTTGGAGGAAAGTTCTGAGAGTGCCTTGGACAGCAGAAGATCCAACCAGTCCATAATTCAGGAAATAAAGTCCGACTGCTCATTGGAGGGAAGAATAGTAGAGGCCAAGATGAAGTACTTTGGCCACATCATGAGAAGACGGGAAAGCTTAGAGAAGAGTATGATGCTGGGGAAAATGGAAGGAAAAAGGAAGAGGGGCTGACCAAGGACAAGATGGATGGATGGGATCCTTGAAGTGACTGGCTTGACTCTGAAGGAGCTGGGGGTGGTGACGGCTTACAGAGAGCTCTGGCGTGGGCTGGTCCATGAGATCAGAAAGAGTTGGAAGCGACTGAATGAATAAACAACAAAACACATAAGCTACCATGTCCATCTTCCCAGGTCCATCCCCCCCCAAACACTACCAACAAAGTTGATCATGATGGGTATGTGTGCCAACTAGTACAGATTCATCATCGTTGGGGTTCACAGTAGTCTCTGGATGTGGGTGAACTGCATCTCCCATCATCTGGGTTCAGTCCCTCTCTCCAAATCCCTCCAGTACTTCAAGTTGGCCATGAGGGGTATATCTGCCAAGTTTGGTCCAGATCCTTCGTCAGCGGAGTTCACAGTGCTCCCTGGAATTTCTCCCTGGGTGTGCAGCGAACAGCAGTTAACATCATCCAGGAACAGTGTGTTGTGGGATGTATTTTTTCCTCCAGTCCAGAATCTTTTCATGAAATGACATTAGTTACATTGTGTATTCAGTCTTGAAGAGAAAGAAAAGCAAATATATCACAACTGAATTTCCCATCTAGAGAAAAATAAAGTAAGGGGGGAAGATGGAAGAGTTTTCCCACTGAAAAATCTCCCAGATTTTATCATAATTTAAATATGAGTAAGCACTTTAGAAAAAGGGACTATTCCAAGTGCTCAAGCTAAGTCTGTATTCCCTGCCCTGGGAAAGACCGTGCCATTGTAAGCATGCAGGCCTGCGCTGCGACTCTGGTCAGGAATGGACTTGATCTCAGAAGGCTTTGCTCCTGGAGGAAATGTTTGTGAAGGATGTCATTGTTCACGGAGGAGGTCTGGGGGGATGCATTCCATCCCTGATAATGAAGGATGCTCTCCTGAACTCCAGGGAGTAATCCTTCCTCAACCTCAGTGGTCTTTGAAGGTAGAAAAGTGGAATGCAACTCAAAGGACCTCTAGCAGGAAGAAACTAGTTGCATGTGTAGAAGCTGACTTGAGGCCTGTTGCTAGATGTGTATTTGCCAATTGCCTCAATTCCTGGTACCCTACCACTTGTGATTACTACAGTGAGCACTTTACCAGGTCGGTACCTGTCAGACTTTCATAAGCTCTGGAACTGAGCTTGTAAGGTTTTAAACTCTTGCAAGCACCTTAAACATTTCAGGTTTGCCCCTCTATGCCTGCTATAAACTATGTTTTTTTGAGCCGCACTCACCTGAAGAAGTGTATGATTATGAAAAAACCTACGTAACTACCATCTTGTCAATTGGAAAATTGCTGCCCTGTTTGTTTTACTCTCCATGCTAGACAATCTAGCAATCTTTGGCTGCCGTCCCATTTCTTCCCGGGCTTTTTCCCCCCAATTCAAATGGAGCAATGATATAATCCCATTTTAGAAAATGTAGGTCAGAGAAACAGAAACAAATATTTGGCAACTGTTTAGAGTGGGAGGAGAAGCACCAACTCACACTAGAAACAGTGCCTTTGAATGGGATGTCCTCTCCTGAGCTAACCGCTTTGGTAAGAGCATCCAAAAAACCTGAAGCCAAAAATAACAAGAGGATCTCAGAATGCAAAGAAGGGAGGGTGGGCCAAGCTCAGTCACACTCCTAAGACCTTCCTTCTCTTGAGGAATCT